CCAACTTAGGGTATTTCACTATTACTGAGGTCTACAAGATACAAGTAGTCCGAGTTCAAAAGCGATTTATAACCTCAAGAGGTTCCCTCGTTAGACCATGACAATGTTACAAGCATCTGATTCTTACATTAAAAAGAATTCTTTATTTGTATAAAGCTGATGAGCACGGAGGGATTATACTAATAACTAGTTGAACACAATTATCCGACTTGCCAAAAAATGTCACACTGACACAACTCGATTTGATTACTGTTTCTTCTATTCCGCTGGAAAACAAAAGCTGCAGTCGACTTTTTAGCTTTTTCGATATTATAAAACCAAATTTTGGAAAAAATAATTATACTATCTGTTAGCGCTTGGGGTTTTCTATCAACCTGCATATTCAGATTTTCCCGTGCTCTTGTTCATTGAAAGAAAACGCGAGTGAAATGAAGGGACCCTCATTGTCAGATTCCCAACGATTGAATTTTACCGCTGTCTTCTCGATTAGTACTTTAAATTTATCTTTGCTTTAGAGATAGCTTTTTAAGAAAATAATTATATATTCTGATAGTGTTTGAAGTTTTCTACCATCCTACATATTTATATCTTGTCTTGCATTTATCTGCTGAAAATAATTTGAGTACAACGAAGGTCCTCCGAATTGACAAGTACCAAAATGCTGCAGTTTTTCGGTACCTTTTAGTTTTTTGAACACCATTTATTCTAAAAACATTTTTTACAGACCACGAGAAAGAGCACATTCAGAAGTACAAAAATATCTGACTTCTCACTTTTGCAACCCTTTTTGTACGAAAATAATAGCAAAAGAAAAGGTTCAAGTAGAAAAAAAATAATAGATTTTCAAAGTTTTCATTTTTTTCGTCTTTCGTATAATCTGCGTAGTTTTCTTGATTGAAGCTCTAAAATTAAAGTTTAGGTATGGTTTTGTAGAGCATTTCGCGGCGCATCATTTTTAGAGAAAACATTAACCTTTGGGTCCTAAAGAAACACGAGAAAAATACAAAATACTGAGAGACCGTACCTGTTACAATTCCTGCGAATCTGACGATAAGGGGAACGTCATTGTACTCAATTTGTTTTTCAGCAACTAAATACAAGGCAAGACATAAATATACAGAGTGATAGAGAACTCCGAGCGCTATCAGATAATTATCTTTTCCAAAATGTGATTTTACAATGTCGAAAAAGCTAAAAAATCGACTGCAGCTTTTGTTTTCCAGGGGAATATATTAAAGTTTAAACCAAAATGTCATACTACAAAAGAATGACGGCTTATGACATCAAAGTTAGTTTAAGAGCACTTCTTCTCCCCCTTGTAAATTTACTGCGCTTGAAAAAAGCTAGACAAGCGCGGCTTAACGCGCTTTACCGCGAGAATTTCCAAAGACGCGTCGAAATGTACCACGAAAAGGCATGCCTGATAAATATTAATAAATGAAACGCGTCATACTGTGCTTTTTCAATTAAAATTTCTCGGACGCGTCAAAGCGCATTTCCGTATGTGGCGTTTAAACGGATTCGGTAGTTTTTAAACAGACAAAACCCCGTCTTAACGCGCTTTCTCACGTCAAATGTCACTGACGCGGTACGGGAAGATGCATTTAAATGCATCTAGTAAATCTAATTTAAAAAAAACGCGTTTTATTGCGCTTTTGCGAATAAAAAGTTTCTCAGACGCATCTTTACTTGGCAATATTTCGCACAATAAAGAGCGTTAAGGCGTATTGTTTATAGATAGATATCTATGTCAGCTTTTAGAGAACCGAACTGGTTTTCCACAGATGAAAAAACGATCTTTGAAATTTTTCCAAACTCGTTTTTGCTTATGAAAATATAGCCTCAGATATTGGCTGGCGAATGATGAAAACCGCAAGTCTCAATCTTTTATTCCTCTCGAGTTATTCAAAAAATAACTTACGGCCTTGTATTTTAACCGATAACAGTGCAACAAACATTAAAAAAGAAAGAAAAACGGACGTAATAGTCACATAGTAGAGATTACCTATCCTGCTCTCGAAGACTGTTGACAAAAAAGAGAAAACCAAACTAATCCTAATCTGAAAAGCTTTGTTTTACTAAGCAAATTCGTTTTGGACAAAGTACTGATTTCTCAGACAAAAAAACATTTTTTTTCTCGACCAGCCGGTCAAATTAATTTTCTTTCTATCGGCCGACCGGCAGGTTGCCGGTACCGATTACATCTGTGACACGGATAATGCTCCAATTCAGTTAATCTGAAACAGAGAAAGAAAGAACCAACAGTCAATGAAAATCTTTATTAAATATCTATATTAAATTTTTTCTACAAAAACCGAGGTAACATCACTTACAGAAATTACTGCTTTAACCGGTCTAAACTTGTCATTCGAAGCCGGTTTGTCATACAGTAAAATTACAGTGAATAACTTTCAACGGCGTAAAAGTCTTTGAAAAAAAGAAAACGTAGAGTGGCCCTGCGACCTAAGAATTGCCTGCGACTAGACCCTGGTAGATTTTAAAACAGTTATCAAGTTATATTTGAAGAGACAAACAAAAAAATATGAATAAACAAAGAAGCTTCGATAACCCTATCAACCATAACCTATCATAGTCGCAAAAACAGAAGCAGTTGCCTGTTTCTTTAATAACTCGACAACGATAAGTGCAATATTAAAAAATTCATACAATTTTGTAAAGAGCTCTCGGCTCGAAGAATCGTACTAAGATCGTACGAGAAGTAAGAAATGATATGATCCGTACTGTAGGATCATATGATTTCTTATAGTACGATTCTGGTACCCCCCTTACCTCCAGAATAGGAGGCCACTCTCTGTATAAGGCTGTGTCTGGGAAAAAAGTTCAAATGCCCTAATAGAATGCCACGTACATATTAAGTAATATTTTCTAAAGCTCAGTATTTTTAATAAATATTAATTAATAATTATAAAAATATTATTATTAATTAGTTAGCCAGAAATTGATCCGCAACAGAAGGCCACCCAAAAAGTAGTGATGTGCCGAGATGTGGTATAAGGACATGACCTTTTATTCTGGGGAGAGCGGTTACGGGTCTGATTATATGACGGTCAGATATTTCGTATGAAATTGAGCTGTATGATTCGTACAATATCGTTGTTAAAAATTGTATGTGTTCGTGCCGTACGATTTGAGTCGGAATCGTACTCTATAGATAATTTCTTTGCTTTTGCTGCGATTTATACGTGAAATGTTAAAGAAAGGGCAATATCTAGTTCAAATGTTAGAAGTATATTATTGCAGGAAATTCACTTTATTTTCATAGTACAATACTGTTTAGCAGCATCATCTGCTATCCTCGCGATGTTGTGCGAAACTCAGCCTATTGATTTGTTTTTTGTCTCTTTCAGAATTGAATTATGATTATTTGATAATGTTGTTTTGATGTTTGATTTTTGTTGTATGATTTGTTTGCCTCGGATGACCGATCCGATAGCATGCTGACTACGTTGTGACATACACCAGACCTTGTGGCTAATATGTGGTTAGTCAGTGTGTGCTGGGAGCTCAAGCGAATTAAACGAAAGACCTCTGAGTCAGGTTGGCCTTCGGTCCAGAGCTACAGTTAGTATTAGTTGTAGGGAAGATATCGGGCTTATGAAATTGTCTCTGGACAGCACCCTATACCGCAAGGTAGCAGAAAGGCGGGGTATTCTTCCTTTTAACAGAAGAAAAGTATAAGAAACGTTGACGAAAATTCTATCTTGTTTTTGTTTAGATTCAAAACTTTCATCTGATGAATTTGACTTGCTGAGAAGTGAAGAAGTTCACGAAACAAGTGCATTTTTTCATCTCAATCCACATTTCTTCTTGAAATACTGTTTGTTCGGTTTTCTTTTTAAAAGATTTACGTTGATTTTAGTTGTATATATTCTTTTGTTCTGTTTTGTTGTGATTTATCCAATCAACTGATATATTTTTACAGTTTTTTCAAGCCAGCCGCACTTTTTTGGAACCTTTTGTATCTCTCATACATGATTAAAAGATATGAAAAAGAAATAAAGTGAGAATATTGATATGTGACAAAAACGCACAAGGGAAGTCAAAGCAGGCTAGCGAAAGAAATCAGCAAAAAATAGTCAGGAACATGTATCATTCATGCCTAAGGGAAGCCATTAAAAATAAGTCTGTACGCGTAGATATAGATGAATATCGTTCTCTTTTCTTCTCTTCTTTCGTTGGTTTTGCTAAATGAAACAAATGTACGTACAGAATAGAACAAATCGGTATTTTAATGATAACTCAAGCAATGAAACAGTGGAGCTTCTTTTACACAATATTGTTCTTAGAATCAGTCAGTCGTCTGACATAATTTCTAGGGTACTTGTCAGACAATTTATACTGCAGGATGTCGATAGATGGAAAGAATAGCCAACCGTCGTTATTTTTCTCTTTTAGATATGAATAGTATCCTGTTTTGCAGAGAACAAGCTATAGATGTCTGTTGTCTATAAGAGAATGGGAAAAGACTATTTTGACTATATAACACTAATGTTATTTTTCATCAGAGAATAGTACACACAAATATCTCGTACACAAAGAACAACTTTGATGATATTGTATATAATCATTCTGATTTTACCAATTTCTTCATTACCAATTGCAAAACAGTTAAATTTAACTGATCGTTTGCAAAACATAATGAGTGAAATTGAACAAGAACAAATTAATTTAAACAATCAAAGAGACAAATTTCTATCGGACAAAGCAAGGTTTACTCTTGAGTTATTAGAAATGTCGGGAAACACAACTGAAGATGATTTAATTTATTTAAATGTTGGTGGTGAATTAATGACAACAACCCGATCAACACTTACATTAATACCAGATTCAAAACTTTACAAATTATTCAATGGTCGTTGGAATGATAAATTAGTTTATGATAAAAATAATTTTGTATTTTTAGATTATGATCCTATTCTTTTTAAACATCTGTTGAATCAATTACGATTAAACAGAACAAGTACATTTACTCCACCACCATTGAGACAACAAAAAGAGTGGAAGGAATTTCTGGGCCTATTAGATATTTCTCATCCGTCAGATTTTGTTATTAAATTAAATGTTCGTGATGAATATGTTACAACATTGCACTCAACATTAACTGTTATATCAGATTCAAAATTAGCTCAAATGTTTAATGATGAAGATGGAGAATTATTCTATGATCAAGATGGAAATGTGTTTTTAGATGTTAATCCTAAATGGTTTAAACATTTACATGCTCAATTAAAAAAATGGCATGATACAGAAAATAATGCAATTCATCCACCACCCTATCCAAATGCAAACGATAAAGAATTTATCGATATTATGCAACAATTTGGTTTAACTAACTATGGTAAGACAATTAAAATTTTTCTGGCATCTATATTTTCTTTCCTACACCGTTTTAGCTCCAACTACAGCAAATCCACATCAATGGCAACGTGGATAATATAACTTTATAAAAAATTCAAAAACAATCAATAGGCATAGGATATTCTTCCCTTGTTTTCTTGACTGTAACTGTATAAAATAAAATGTCTGTTCGATTGTCTGTCGTCGCGGAAAAATCGATATTCAAATAACTTTTAATAGGAATAGTTTGGGATGATGAAACTTCTGGACGCTCTTTAAATGAAATTCGTAGTTGATAATGTCATAACAATTGTTATCTTGACGAAATGAGTAGATTGATATGTGGCAAAAACGCACAAGGAAAGTTAAAGCAGAATAGCGGGAGAAATTAGCAAAAAATAGTCACGATCGTGTATCATCCGTGCATAAGGAAAGTCATTAAAAATAATTATACGCGTAGATGATATAGTTGAATATCATTCTGTCTCCTCCTTCTTTCGTTGGTTTTTTGCTGAATGAAAAAAATCAGATATAGTTCTACGTACGGAATAGAACAAATTTTCATTTTTTATTATCAGTTCGCTCCAACAACAGTATAACTTTCTTGACGTTGAAAGGCGCTTTTCATTTATTTTGTTTGTAATCCATTGAAATGCATAGCTAAGAGAGAGACAGAGTCAAGTAGTTGGCTATGATGACCCGAAAAGAATAAATAATCGTCAAGAAGCAGTTGGCATTTCTTTCGATTTCGAAAAAACATTCGACTGTGGGCTACACGAAATTCTACTGAGAGAACTATAAACTTTAGTCGGTATTTCTGGTCCTCTACTTGACCGGTTCAAGTCATACTGTCTGAGCGTGCCCAGATAGTAGCAGTGGGATCTGTTCATTTTGCTTCAGTTCCTGTTGTTTCTGGAGTGCCTCAAGGTAGTATTCTTGGCCCCATCCTATTTTTAATCTTCATTAGTGACTTAGCCCAAAGTCTAGGTTTCTGTTCTCTATCTTCGCTCTTTGCAGATGATCTTCTTTGTCTAGCCGATCTATACAAGGCACAAGCGCCCATAGACGAGGTTCTGGCTTGGTGTTAACGAATTTTGTGACTTTAAACGTTTCAAAATGTGATGGGATACTATTTTCTACTGTATTTAACGTACATTCAACAATGTCTTTATAGGGCAAATAGTAAAAGAGAAATTTTACATGAGGACAAAACCCTCATCTGACACCTTTCACAGGAACTTTTCTGGTAATCAAAAACTAGAAATGAAAAGTGCACAAGAATTTGTTGCGTTGGAAAATGTTGTTTCGCAGAGTTTGATATCAACGACGGTTGTTGGTACACATTGAAAGCAATAATGACGTAATCTGCACAGTGGGCGGATTATAAATATGTTGTTAGTAGGTATGGGGCGAATCGAGCGGCGCTCGCGTGCTCGCCACGAGCGCGCTCGTTGCTCGAGCGAGACAGACGAATCGCGCTCGCATGTCATTCCTAATTTAAATAAAATTCTCTATAGTTTTGCACAAAAAATGCTTAAACAACTTGTAAAACGGAAAATGTATTCGGGAGACGAGCGCGCCCGTTCAATTACGCTCGAAAGACAAGCGCTCTCGTGAACATGCGTTCGAGCGCGAGCGCGCTCACGTTTCTCCACTAGAGCGGCGAGCGCTCGATTCGCCCCATACCTAGTTGTTAGTCGTAAGAGGCTTTTTCTGCATTCCTCTTCCTCTCTTAAAAGACAAATATTTAGATAAACTTATCAATTTATCTATATGCCATACAGTTATTCTCTATTCGTATGTATCGCTAGAGGGATTAAATTAAAAAGCAATAATTGCTGAGTCGCATGAGACAGTTGTTGTTATTCCACAGAAAGAATGGGGATGATCCCACACATGGCTAACTGATTGAAAGTCTAATTGCAGTTCATTAATTTAATAATGAGCCTATCTTCACATTGTGACAACAACTAACTCAATTTGCCAATGGCATCCATCGGGAAATTTTAGTGGCTAACACCGCGTGTACACTCGTGAATATCGTGAAGTGAAATATGGGGACATGTGAACATGGTAAAATAAAATCATGCGGCCCAGTGCGAAAAAAAATATCTCACTTGTGAGCACGGGTGAACTGAATTTATTTCGTAGGTACTATTCACGTTCAATTGGAACTCTTAATGTTTGGAATTCTATTTGAGACATGTAACTAATTCTCAAACGAGTTGCACAAGCCAGAAGAATTATGTGTTCCATGCGAGAAAACAATAGAGAATTCGTCGGTAATTATTGTAACGAAATATGTCCTCTCTTCTCACTGGCCACTTACTATCGTTCTTCTCCAAACACCATTCACCTCTCGCTCATTGTATGTGGTCAATCACTCTCTCTTTGTACATATTCAATCTCTCTCTCATTGTTCATGCTGTCATTCGCTCTCTCGATCGAAACACTACAGAATATGTCAGCTGAACTTCGTTTTGAACTTTAAGAAACATCCGTATCATTGAAAACTAACCTACGATAAATTAAGCAGAATGAAAATCTGTATAAAATGGGATGATAAAATCTCTAAAAGTTTTGCAATACTGGGTGTCTATTTGAAATTTAAATTACAATTATTAATTTTGGACAGGAGTTTTCTATAGAATGGAGAACGGTTGTTTTAGGGTCTTCTATCGTAACAAAATTCTAGACTGGATGGTAATATAACTCGTTCTCCGTTCCCTTTTCCATGTTTCTTCGGGAGGACCGATTACCCGAGTCCACCAAATTGGTTCAGTCTTATCACAAATTGGGTCCGCTGAGCCCTATGTAGATTCTAGCCGCTCATGGTGCACTACTGCAGAAAGTGTGTCCGTTTGGGCAGAAAGGACCAGAATTATACTACATTTGTAGTATTGTGAAAAATTATGTACATCTCTTAAATTTTTTTTCTCACAAAACATGGATATTGTACATTGGCCGTGATAAACTTTACCTCATGTGACGTTCTGTTTCCATTCGTGACATGGAAGAACAATACTGGAAGACTCATCTTTAGCAGTCGATGTACAACCCGTAGATCATAGTAGGCATGCAACGGTTACGGTTATTAACCGTTTAACCGTAACCGTAATAACCGGTCGAACGGTTAACCGTAACCGTTAATAACCGGTCGAACGGTTAACCGTAACCGTAAATAACCGCTTCATAACAGCTTCGTGTACTGATTGTAGAAAAATAAAGAATAATTTATTTGGAAAGAAAGAAT